TTTAAGATGGAAGATGGTTTTTATGTTTTTTACGCTCTTGTTTGTGTTTGTTGTAAAAAATTAAAAATTAAAAATTTTTTTCGCTTGATTTGTTTTTTGGCTATGGCTGTTGCTAGGAGCCCTGAAAGGAAGATTCTAATTAGGATTATAAAAATGTTAATTTATAATTTTTTTCTGAGTCTTCTCAGATTAAAAAGAAACATTTCTTTCCACAACGTTCCATATTTCATTTAAAAACATGTTCTTTTTAAGCAGTTGTAGCTCTTCCAGTGTTGCTTCTTGAAATCCACATCTTATCTTTAGTATTTGCATTTGAGAGATATGCTTTATTCTTCACATCCTCTTTTCACAATGAAGAGCAAATTGAAAAAAAACCAGCGGTGGTCTTCTAAACATCCTCTCTGTGTCTTTGATGCTGCTTCATTTGAAAGGGCCCACTTCTTCCCCAAGCACAGGTGTCCCTTTCCGCTGCCTGTCCCTCTGAGGTCCCATCGCACTCAGCGTGGCTTTCTTGCCCTCGTCCACCCTCCTCTTGCTGCTGTCAGCTTCCATCTCTCGCCTTGCGCGAGTGGCATTGCCCTGTGTGGCTCCCCAGCCATTGGCAGCCACTTTGCCTGGGAGGAGCCACTGAAGCACCTCTTTAGTGGCTCCTTCATGGGAGGTGCTCACAGCCCTGCCGAGCCCAAGGGAGTCCCTGCACCTCTGGGGGTCTAAGAAGGAGCTCCATCTTGGCACCACACTGTAAGTTGGGGGCCTGAGTGGGGTGGGTGAAATGCCCAAAGGTCCAGGAAGGAGTGCCTGCCTCTTTTTTCAAGAAGCTTGAAAACAGACATTGCAAGATGGGAAGGAATGTTTAGAAGTGGAAAGGAAGTAGAGACAGCGAAGGTTGGACGTGGGCCTGTAGGAACGCTGCTATGCTGTGTCGGGCTCCTTCAGAGGTGAGCAAGGAGTGGAGGAGAAGACGCGAATATGCTAAATGCCATATTCTCTTTCTTTTTTTCCATTTTCCCAGCCCTCTTGGAATAGCATGGACCTGTTTTATCTTTTCAGCAGCTTTTGTGAGAGAGAGCCTGGTTCAGAAGGAGCTTCAGCTTGACTTTGGCTCTGCCCATTTGCACCCTGCCCCCTTTAACTTTTATTCCGGCTTCAAGTAATTGATGTGCGTGCCCATTAATCTCATTTTTACAGCCTGCTGCCCTGCACCTTTATGTCATGAGGATGTCTCATCCTTTCTGTGGAAGATGCCCAGGTACCCACTTCCTTAATGGCTCTGGGTGGCTTGCAGAAGAATGACAATGGTGGCCAGGCAGAAGATAAACAGGGTCGAGAGCAGGGAGTCTGAGGGGGCTCCTGGGTTAGGGTTTGGGGCCACCAGACAAAGCCTCAGCTTTGCTTTCCCGGATCAGAAGCAATTACTGGTTGGAACATGGTCTGAAGTGAGGCACCCAAGGTGGCAATAAGGGTGGCACGGGGCCATTTCCTTCCCCCAGCTGATATTAAGCCACACAGTGGGACCCTCTTTAATCCGTCCGGTGCAGTTTGCTCTGCGGCTGCACGGCTGCCTTGTACGCCCGCTTCTCCCATCTTCCCCAACCCAGTGCCCCCAGGATACACCAGACTGCGCTTCCCAGGGTCCGGCCACGTTAGCTGGGAGGGGGAGGTCATGCATCCTGCATATCTGGAGGGTCTTAGCGTGAGGGTGGCTGACTGAGTTTCTAACTGAAGCTTTGCAAGGGACCTACCTACCTATTCTTAGCCATTTCATTTGCAAGGCGTAACCCCATTTGCTCGGAGACTTTCTTTTGCCCAAGTCCCTCTAGAGCCTCCCGGGCAGGCCACAGTCCTCATCTCGAAGGACCAGAGAACGCACACCCAATTTAGGCTTCTCTGCTCGGACACCCTCCCCATGCATGGCCATGTAGACTGGGGGGTGAATGGGAGTGGTAGTCCAATACATCTGGAGGGCATCAGGTTAGGAATGGGTGTTTGGAGGCAAGGGCCTTCACCTCTCCTCCCCTGGGCTGGCTGGTCTCGGGAATGTCCACGTGGTCAACGCGACTGGCCAAGTGGTTACTCCGTCCCTTTCTTTGGTGCCAGTGAAAGCCGCTTCTTTTTCTAAAACTGAGACTAAATGTTCCACTCTGTTCGGAATAATATATATTGATAACTGTTGTTGCTGAAGGATAAAGAGGAAGTTCCAGACTTCTAGAGTCCAAAACGAAGTGACCTGATGTTCAGATCCTGGATTAATGTGCAAACTGGCTAAATTGCCCCCCCCCTTTCTCCAAGTTCCAGTCTTGATTGCAAACGATCAAGAGTTTGGTAGCACCTTTTCTGACTGACACGTTTTACTAAAAAAGCATAAGTTTCTGAGAGCTGCAACTCACTTCACGAGGTGCCTAGAGCGGCTTGGCTGATACAGGGTTGCAGTGCCAAAGCGGTCAGCCAGCCTTGCCTAATAGCCCCTGACCAGGAACCATCACGGCCCCAGAGGAGAAGTGGGGGCAACGGAGGGAAGGAGGGAGGTGCCAAAGCTGGAGATCCCTTGGCCCCCTTGGCCTGGAGGGACCCCCGAGTCCCTGCTGATGCCTGGCCGGCTGGCCGGCCGGCCGCCCCACTGCATTGGATGAAGGGGCCGCTGCTCACAAAGAGCTTCTGCTTTTAATAGTGTTTGTTAGCTGGGACGGGCGTTGCCGGCCTCCTCCTGATTTAGGGCTGCTGCGGACTTCCATAGCTCTCCTCCTCCAAAGTCTTGAGGACTCACGTTCATGAACCAAATTTTAGCAAGGAATACGACTGAGGCGTCCTCTTGCACTTCTTTTCTCAGGAGGAGACCATGAAGGCGCTGCCCCTCCAGATGGTTCAGGTGTGGTGTCTGATGGAAATGTTCACGGGGCGTTTCCAGGTAAAAAAAGGAGCTTCAGCAGCAAGAATTTCCTCCTCTTTAAATGGAGGGGGGCCAGAACAGGCGGGCTGCAGTTCCTGCCCCCCCAAAAGCCACTTCCTGCCGTTAAGGGCTTGGTCGTGCCTAAAGAAAGAGAGGTAACAAAGAGGAGAGGCTGCCACGAGGGCCGCCGCGAGGCCTTCCACGTGAGGCAGAGCCTGGGCAGGGCGTCCCCCCAGGCCACGGGGGCCACGAGGCCTCCGGCTTTGGTGCCTCCAGACTGATGTCTCCAGACTGGCGTTCAGGCGCTTCTGGCCTCTCAGCAGCAAGGACCCAAGCCCCTTTCTTTCTGTTTTTCCTCAGGCCCAGCAGAGGGGAGAAGCGCTGGGGGGAAAGGCTGGGAACTCCCCGGTCAGACAAACTAGGAGCTCAGCCTGGCCGGAGGAAGCTCATGGCGGGAGGAAGAATCCTTGAATCCGGGGTTGGAAGAGACTTGGAGATCTAGGCCAAACCCTCCCATCCAACCTGTGCTTGAAACCTCCAGTGACGCAGCCGCCAGGAGCCGGGCTGCCCCCCCGCCCCAGAGCTCTCGCCCTTAGGAAGTCCCTCCTTATTCTGAGTCTGGGTCCCCCTGCAAAGCTTCCACCGCTGGCCCTTCCCCGCCCCTCGGGCACTACAGCGAACAACGCCACCCCTTCCCCGGGACAGCCCTTCAAGGACTGGAAGACCGCTCTCCTGTCCCCCCGTAGCCTTCTCTTTCAGCCAGCTCTTCGGAGGACGGAGCCCCCAAGCCCCTCCCTGTCTTTGCTGCTCTGCTCTGCCCTCTTCCCAGCACCTCAGCGTCCTTTTGTATGGACACGTACAAAACTGGGCACAGCATTCCAGGTGTGGTCTGGCTACCCCGGGGTAAAGTGGAGCTCTCCCTCCCGTGATCTCAACCTTATACCTCTCTTGATGAGCCCCAAGACAGCACTGGCTCCCTGGGCCATGCTTGATCTGTGCTCTGCCAGGACACACAGACCCTTCCCTCAAGCGCTACTCCCACCCATCTTGTACCTGTGCATCTGGTTTCTCCTGAGTAAGTTCAGAACTCCATATTTCTCACTACCACAGTGCATTTTGTTGGACAGGGGCCAATGGTCAAACCTATCAAGACCCTTTTGAACCCTGAGCGTATCTTCTGGGATGCTCGCAATCCCCACCCCCACCCCCCAGCTTTGTGTTGTCTGCAGACTTGATGAGCATCTCTTCTATCCCCTCACCAAAGTCATTGATGAAAATGTTGAAGAGCAGGGGACTTAGGACAGAACCCCGAGGTACCCCACTGCATACCTCCCTCCATGCAGACACAGAACCCTAGACTCAAGGGGTTGGAAGGTGTCAGGTTCGGTCAGCACGGGGCTTCAGGGAAGCTCGCAGCCAGACCACGTGAACTCCGCCGGCAGCAGCTAGCGAGGGAAAGAGGAACTGAAAGCGCCGCTAATTAATGGGCCACCTGCACCCGGCCAAACAGGAAAACCGCAGCGGAAGTTTTAACTCTACACTGATAACAAATTTCTTTGACTGCTCTTCGTAGGATTTAGCCTCCAAGCCCCTCACCACCTTTGCTGCTCTTCTCTGCACCACAGAGGTGACCAGAACTGGACAAAGTATTCCAGGTGGGATCTGACTAGTGCAGCATGGAGAAGTCAGACCCCACCTGGAATACTGCGGTGTTATAGAAAATTATAATAGATATAGATAGCATAGATCCATTATGGACCATGTGTTGGGTACAGTTGTTTTACCAGCTGTGAATCTTTCTGGTAGTGGGACCATTTGTCCCCTATTGCTTTATTTTATCCAAAAGGAGGCAATGGTCAACTTTATCAAATGGCTTACTGAAGTCTAGGTACATCCATCCATAATATTCCCTTGGTCTACTGATCTAGCCACTTCGTCAAAAGAAGCAATAAGATTTGTCTGGCATGACCTTCAGAAAGCACACAGAAATTCGCTTCAGAAGCACGCAGAAGTTTGCATGCAGGCAAACCTCCACCAAGGAACAACTCTTCTTTCTACATGAGCAAACGCCACTCCCTTCTAGCACTGAAGATGTTACCAAGCTGGGTAATGAAATGTTTGCAAGAAAACAGCCAAGTATTGTCGAAGGCTTTCACGGCCGGCATACGATGGCTGGTGTGGGTCTTCCGGGCTGTGTGGCCGTGTTCTGGAAGTTTT